ATAGTGTAAAGATCTACAAATAAAACTGTTCATTACATTGTATAGTGTAAAGATCTACAAATAAATCTGTTCATTACATTGTATAGTCTAATGTTCTACAAATTTTACATATAGGATACTAAGTGTGATTCATTTTAAATTCTTTGCAAGTCTGAACAATTTCAAGATGACCTCTACCCTGACACGGCAGCACCCACTCCGGCTTTAACAGCGGAAGAATGGCTTGATGGTAAAAATCGTAACCCTGTTCTCATGACTTTAAAGGTCAGTGGTAGATATTTTTTTATTTATACATTGACTTTGAAGGTCAGTAACTGTCACATTTATTTTATTATAGATTGACTCTGAAGGTCAGTGACTAGTACATTTGTTTTGTTATACACTGATTTGGAAGGTCAGTGACTGTCACATTTGTTTTTTATAAACTAATTTTGGGGGTCAATGACCTGCATATTTCTTTTTTTGTATCACTGAATGAAAATTAGTGACCGATACATTTGGTTTCTGACATATTTTGTATCAGATTTATGTGAAAAATGTTTTTGCTTTATCTATATAATAATTTTGTTAAAAACTAGCTTTTAGTTTCAAAGATGATTAAATTTTTTCACAGTTTAGTTCAAAATAGCTTGTTCAAGAGAAAGCAGTTGTATTTATGTAGAAAATCACTAAAGAATTTGGAAATTAATACCTTTTTGACAAGAATAAAGGTTCTTTTCTGAAAAACGTATTAGTGATAAAAAGTTATCAAAACATGCCTCAAATGCAATTAAAGAATTAGATTGGCATATGTTGGCTTTAAATATTTTGTATTAGTAGTCCATGAAAGATTTTAGTTGATGGAACATTGTAACAAATGAATAATTTGTGAGCCACCATAATTCATTAACATCCATGACAATTTGTTAATCTCAGAAATGTTTTAGTAGTTAATTAATATAAGTATAAGATGAACAGTCTCTGAAACATTGTTGTAGATTGACATTATTAATATAAGATGAACAGTCTGTGAAACATTGTTGTAGATTGACATTATTAATATAAGATGAACAGTCAGTGAAACATTGTTGTAGATTGACATTATTAATATAAGATGAACAGTGAAACATTGTTGTAGATTGACATTATTAATATAAGATGAACAGTCAGTGAAACATTGTTGTAGATTGACATTATTAATATAAGATGAACAGTCTGTGAAACATTGTTGTAGATTGACATTGTTAAAATAAGTATAAGATGAACAGTCTGTGAAACATTGTTGTAGATTGACATTGTTAAAATAAGTATAAGATGAACAGTCTAGTCTGTAAAACATTGTTGTAGTTTTGTATAGTGTGAAAGAGTTAAGAAGGTATTGTTTAAAAGTAGATGAACATGTTTCTTATGTTACTGATAGACTGGTGCTGGAGCACGGACCAATAAGCCAGTCTTGTACCACCATGAGAAGCAGTTTTTGGTGACAGCTGACCGAAACAACGAAAGAAAGTTTCTTTTCATTTCTCAAGAGAATCGTGTTGATTACCGAGAAACTTCTAACATGAACATCAATGCTATTAACAACAATGCAACTTTGGATATGTATGTAGCCTACATAATAGGTTATATTATCAATGCATTATTAGATATTAGTTGCTTTGAAAACTATTAAGATTATATATAGCCGATATTTATACACACTGTACATTGACTTGTCTCTTTCTAAATGAAAAATCCTGAAATCAAAATGATCAGTTTATTCAACTTGTAAGTGATGTTATGTCTAACATAAAGACCTCAAAAATCTGTTTTGTAAGGTATTTGCTGGAAAAAATAATATCCTATTAATCACAACAGCTGTAATAAATTCTTTCATTTTAGTCACTGTAGCAAGTCTGTTGTTTTCTGTCTCTCTTCTCTTAGTATCTGTAATAAATATTTTCTTCTTCCCTATTCATGTTAATAACTGTAACAAGTTTTTTCTTCTCCCTCTTCATGTTAGTAACTGTAACAAGTCTTTTCTTCTCCATCTTCATCTTAGTAACTGTAATAAGTTTTTTCTTCTCCCTCTTCATGTTAGTAACTGTAAGTCTTTTCTTCTCCCTCTTCATCTTAGTAACTGTAACAAGTTTTTTCTTCTCCCTCTTCATGTTAGTAACTGTAAGTCTTTTCTTCTCCCTCTTCATAATATTAACTTATAAAACAGTAGCTTAACAGAGTTAATCGTGATCTTTTATAACAGAGTTAATCATGATCTTTCTTACGACTAGCAGCCACAGTCTTTGGTAACAGTATTAACCATGATCTTTCATATCAGTATTACTCATGACCTTTCATATCTGTGTTACTCTTTCAGCACGAATCAGAACCAGGTCACAGAGAAGAAACAAATACCATGGCTTCAAGATGAAGAGACAGCTAATGGAGTTACAATGTGTGATATTGTGTCCAGTGGTCAGTGTCCAGTGGCCACATATGTCACTCTGAATGACAGTGCTAGTGAAAGTGACAGTGAAAGTGATCCCGAGATTGAACCTAATGGACCACGAACGTTAGCAGTGGTAAGGGCGTTATATATTTGAGGAGGAATAGTTTTTTTTCCATTTTCTCAGGAAGTTTGAAATATTCCCATGGATGATAACAGTGATACCATTGTGGTTATGGAAACATAAGATAAAGAACATAAACGTAAAATGACAGATTTTTAATTAATACACTAGCATTTCCTAAACTGGGGTCATCACATTAGGTTTGTAAATAGTCTTAACTCTAAGTAAAAAATATTAAAGTGTAACAAAACATTAGTGCATTGTTGTTGCTGTTAACTCACTAACAATCAACAGTGTGTTGGATCCTCCCACTAGGGGGTCCTCTAAAATATTTGGAAGCTATGAATTAATGAAAATTTGGAAGCCATTGGAGTACACAAGTCATGAGATACAAATTAGCAAAATATAAATTTTTTATTGCTAAGAAAGTCAAATCTTTTTAGGGGTCCTTAGACTAACTTCAAGTAAATTTAAATAATTGGTTTATTGAGGTGAAAAAAATAAATCAAAAAATGTTTTACAGAAACAAGATAGGCTAAGGGTTGTGGGTTGAGTTAGCACAAAACTGTGGAATTGATCTAGTGATTGTTATCTACCCCTGTATTGTAGGAAGACTTTATTGAATTTTATTATTGTATTGAAATTAGTATGATAAGTCATCAGTCAATTATTTTTACTTATTACAAATCATATCTATATCCTTTTGATTTCTGTAAAACAGTTTTAATTTACCTCATTCCCTGGAGGATACTGCTGTACAGGTGTCATTTCTGTAAAACAGTTTTAATTTACCTCATTCCCTGGAGGATACTGCTGTACAGGTGTCATTTCTGTAAAACAGTTTTAATTTACCTCATTTCCTGGAGGATACTGCTGTACAGGAGTCATTTCTGTAAAACAGTTTTAATTTACCTCATTCCCTGGAGGATACTGCTGTACAGGTGTCATTTCTGTAAAACAGTTTTAATTTACCTGATTCACTGGAGGATACTGCTGTACAGGTGTCATTTCTGTAAAACAGTTTTAATTTACCTCATTCTCTGGAGGATACTGCTGTACAGTTGTCATGATTAACAAATGATAGTAGGTTTTATTGAATGATTTTATTTTTCATATTTGGATTTCGAGATTAACCTTGGAATACATCTAGAGCTCAACTACATGTATAACATTCTTTCCATAATTTTCTTTTAATGCTTTATCCAGCTAAGCAGAATATCACTAAATTGTAGACTTGTTTAATGTTACGAGTTTGTAAATAGTATTGTTCTAGCAAACACGTGCTTGCTCCTATAACAACAGGACAGACTACTGCCTCTTCTTCAAATAGAAGCCAATGTAAAACATGATGTATGATTGGTTGTTATGTAAATATTTATACATGTTCTACACTTTATGATGTAAAATTATAAATTACTCATGGTTTAAGAAAAATTTAAACTTCTCTATAACTGGTAGAATGTTTAATTTGTTGACATTATAATGGTTTAAGATTTAATTTTTGGAAAGCAGGGATTCTGTTTATGGCATACATTATGACGAAAGACACACAGATAACCTAATCTTTGATAAACACTTCTTGGTTTCTCTTTGTGTTGGAGCAGTTGAAGAAGGCCTATAAACATCGTACAGCAGAAATTAAGTCCTTGAAAAGGGACCTGGCAGCCAAAGATGCCCAAATACGAAAACTGGAAGATCGGCTGGAGAAGCTGACGATGAACGATGATGAAATGTGAGGCTAAGGCACGTACAAAGCAAGTAAATTCTGCCACCATATTTTTTCTTCAGTCACTAGTTGATTCCACTTTTGCCAGTAAAAACCGAGTTGATTTTAACTTCAAAGCATATCTCTGATATTTCTGCTTACGATCTGGTACAGTTTTATATTGTACAATTTTTCTGCCATTTCTGAATATAAAAAATGTAGTTAAAATTATGTGATAGTGCTCTGTCACAGTCCTGAAGTTTTGTTTCATGTAAGTTCATAGATTTCTACTTGTTTTATATCAGATACACATTGTGTGCACATTTTTACCTGTTTTTTTCATACTAATGTATGATAATTTCATTCTTCAGTTCTTGTATATCTAGTGATTTTATGAAAGTTTATGTTTCTCTGAAGTTTAAGTCGACATAAATAGTTTTGTATCAGTAGATTGTTCCTGTGATTTTCATGGTTAAGCAGAAATTTGTACAATCTACTTTTGAAGAACTGATTTTACTCAGTACATGATTTAGTAAGAACATCATGTCACAACCACTGAGCTAGGTCAGGAACTGTTGCTCAAATGTAATAGAAGTTAGTAAAATACAGTGGGTCTGATATTGCAAATGTTTGTTTTCAAGTCAATTTTATGACATATTTCTTACAGAATGTAATTTTTCTAAGATTCTGTAGCAGGTTATTAATTAATTCCACTTTCTAATATTCTGAGAAATATTTTAGAATCTACCCAATATTCAGATTAAAGTTAGTTTTGGTTTTGTTTAACCTGACCTTAACTATATGAGATCTCATAATAACACAATTTGTGATTGAATAATGAAACAAGTAATCCATGCTATGAAAGGTGAGGGAGGTGGGCTAATTTAGTTTTGTAATGAAAAGTTCTAGAGATAAAGAAACTATGCAGGTAACTAAATAGTTATAAATTAATTTGAAAGAAGATTCAATAAAACAAGTATCTATTTATCGATATTTAGCAAATAATCAATTGTTTACTAACTCAATTTACACCAGCAGATGAGATGAAAAGTAAAAAAAATCACTCCTCAGTTTTCTGTTTTGGACTATGTATATTTCAGTATATTCTCTGTGATGTTAAAACACCTAAATTAACACTTAATGTACATACAAAAACACCCAATTACCTAAAGTTTAAAAATGATTGGATATTACTGGAAAACTACCCATAGTTTAAGCTGTGCGTAACAAATAATGCTAGAATCTGATTCACTGCAGCTAAATAATTACTTGAAACATTCTTTATATAAAATAATTTTTAACCACGGATCTGAATGATTAGGAAAAGTGAAACTTTGTTATTATATTTACCATTTTAATATAATCTCATTATATGGGGAGTGTTTTACACTGGAACATTCAAAACAAAGTCAGTGTTTATTTAAAGTTTGAAATAGTTAACAATGATGACATCATAAATTTTATTTCCAGTTCAAACATTGTGTGACTGGGGGAAATGTAATGCTGAATTGTTTAGTCCTTGTGTTTCTGTAATCTAGTTTGTTAAATCTTGGCCAATGAAAGCCCACGTTTTTAAAGCACATTTATGTCTTTCAGTGCTACTGCTGATCTCACCATGTGTTAGTACAGCAGAATCACTGAACCAGTTGTATTCAGTTTATTGTTCAGCTAGCATTGTTTCATTTTATTGTTGATAAGTTAATAAGGATTGATCAGGTGGCAGTAGTGGTTGTTAAAATAGTATTGTTAAAACACTGAAAATTTAGCAGGAGAATATGTGTTCAGTTACTTATGATAACAGTCAAGGTGATAGGTGACACAACCACATCTGTGTTTTATGTTTGTTCTAATAGGTTATAATTGACACAACCACATCTGTGTTTTATGTTTGTTCTAACAGGTGATAGGTGACACATCCAAATCTGTGTTTTATGTTTGTTCTAACAGGTGATAGGTGACACATCCAAATCTGTGTTTTATGTTTGTTCTAAAAAGTGATAGGCTGACACAACCACATCTGTGTTTTAAGTTTGTTCTAATAGATTATAGCTGACACAACCACATTCATTGTACATCCAACTTAGTCAGATAAACATAATCACTGTACAACCAACTTAGTCAAATAAACACAATCACTGTACAACCAACTTAGTCAGATAAACA